ATACGTGAAGGACCAGACTTTATTTTTAGAATAAATGAGCACAACACAGAGCAGGTGATGAAAAGGTTGCAACCAGGTGGAAAATTTTATTTTTTGTACTTAAAAAAAATGAAATTTGAATAAAACAAGTCATTTACTTGTGGCACAAAACAGATTCTTCTCCTGGCCACCAAGTCGTTAAATCAATTCATTCAATGCAGTAGGAGACAGCACTTGCACTACAATACTCTCCTCCTATCATTTGGACAAGCTCCATTTCTATAAATGTAAGAAATCAATTTTTTCCTTTGCCATCTTGAGAAATGTGCTTCCTAATGGCCTCAGAGCATGGTATGTAAGTGGGGTTAGGTTTTTTTTTCTCTTTTTTTGCATTTTCCAAAATGTCTTCTCCTGAGTTTTTGTGGGAATCAGCAGAAATGCCAAGATACAGTGTGTCTGGACTTTTCCAGGCTTTCATGGAATGATTAGAGATCAGAGTGACCATGGGATTTTACTATAACAATTCATTAATTCTCTTTGTACTCTCATCCTTTCATCTTCTCATCCTCAGTCTGGCTTCTGTTTACTGATATTTTTCATCATGTGATGCTCCTTGAGTCTAGAACTAAGTCAGGTACTTTCAGCCTGATTTATAAATCCCTAAATTCTCTGTATAGCCTAATCCTTATTTCTAGCCCTTTTGGAACAAATCTTCCTCTTTGTAACATTGTGTGTGTGCATGCGCTATTGATGGAAAGAATATTCAGAAATATATACAAATGGTTGAACAATGTGCTTTCCAGGTATTGGAGAAAGATGACTGCATCACTTTACACTGGTTATCAGAACTTGACCAGTGATCTGTTGGGTTTAATATCAGAAAAACCATCTGCCCCCCACAGTACTAAACTTAAAAGTCCAGCTGAAGTCCCCTTGAAGACAAAATAACACCAGGGTCACAGTAGACTTCTGCAAAAGAAAATACTTTACTCTTTCCAGCAGAGTTCCAGCAGATAAAACAAAACAGTCTTCTTCAAACGTAGCAGAAAATACAATCCTTCAGTACGCAAAATAAAGTACAGCTTAATTCAGCTTTGTGAACTTATATGCAAAACAAATGGTCCTTCCCAGAATGCATAGTACCTACAATCTGCAGAAAACACAGAGAGCTCATCACCCACAGTAAGAGTTTGTAAAGAGCTCCAACTGGTATACTGTAACCTCTGTTGTTATACTCTACTGATTGTAGTAAGAGAAATTACTTGCCTTTATTGTCACATGCAATGAATCTGCATGTGGATTTTTTCTTTCTTTACACACAGACATCTGTGATAATCTTAGTGCTGATCCTCACAAAAAACTTACCCAGTTTTCTATATACCTTAACATGATCATTCAGTGATCATCCTTGGGGAAGATCCCACCTCACCCATAACAAAAGTTCATAGTGATTGGGGGGAGAGCAGGGGACAGACAAGGGTAATCACCAGCTCTATTCTGACAGTTGATTCTGATAGCTGGGAGATTTCCAGAGATCTTAGAAGATGATATCATTAACCAGCAGTGATCCCAGCTGCTCTGATGTGTCCTGGGCCTTGCTTGTGCATTTCAGAGTGGGGAGAAAAAGGGTGAACCTGGGTGGACCATGGAGCAAGAATAGTATTTTCTTGAAAGAATTAGAAAGAGGGGCTTCAAGAGCATTCTTCTCACTGACGTTCATTGACAGTGAGAAGCCCTTTTTGATCTCTCTTGTTAGAAGTTTGAGAAAAGCTGAGGGAGTTTGAGCTGCCCAAGTCACTCAATGGGTTTCCATGGCAGAGGGGAATTTGAACCCTGATTCCTAGTCCAACATCTAACTATACCACTCTGAACTACAATTATCTTAGACTAAGTTAAAAGAATAACATATTTAAACTTTTTTATTAGGAAAAGGAGATAATTGGAAGTTACTAGCTATTGGTAATTAGTTACATCCCTGCTATGTCAACATCAACTTTCATACTGTAAGTTACTGATCATTATAATGTCTTTGACAATTTCCTCATTTGATCAAAAGGCTGTCAAGTATTACAGATAAAATATTGCTGTTAGAGATTTTCATAGACTACTAAAGTAATGACTGACACAATACAGCTCCAATTTCTAAAGTGATTTTAATAAATTTAAATTCTGTGTCTTCAAGTGAAGAATTTTCCATATCGCTCATGATACAAAATAGCAGAGCAGATGGATACAATCACCTTTTCTGTACGGTGATCACAATTAATATGGGATAGGCAGGTTAAATGAATATTTACCACATGCTAGCTTTATCCTTGATAATCCTTTCTTCATGCACAGCCTGTGATGACTTTCTTCTTATACAATATTTCTTCAGATTGATATATGGGCCCACTAATAATACATAAGATGTGTGAATAGGAATGGATTCTCACCAGCAGTATCTTTTATAGTTAGGTAATACCTTTAATGTTCAATAATGGAATTATTTGCTTGAGAATGTGATAGACTGTCTTTTTCAGGAATATTTTGAACAGAGGCTGAATGGCCATCTGTAAGAGTTGCTTTACCTATGGATTGCTCTAGTTGGAAGTCTTCCAATTCAACATCTCTATTCTTTTTTATGAAGTTATTTACAAACACACTTTAAAAATGGTTTTGACGAAAATGTATATAACAGTTCTGGTTTTCTGAAAAGCCAGTGGAGAAATGATTGAAGGGGCCCCAATCACAGACCCATATGGTCATGTAAACTCTTTAGGCACCTGAAAAGTCTTCTATATTATACCTGTCTATATATTTAAGAGCAGTTTGTTTCCTAACACAAATCATTCAGCATGGATCTTTACTGTGTATCATGGTTAGAGCAATAGCAAACAATATCAACAGAAACTGAGAGGTGCTATAACTTCTTCAAGGACAAGAAGTGGCAATAAGAAGCACACTGAGTGCTTCATCAAAGATATGGGGGATGCATGGAAAATAAATGACTGTTGTATATTTAGAGGTTTTTTTTCTTTTTCTCCCTTGCTTTTTGATTCTGAAAATATTTTTACCTACTTTCCCCCCTGGAATGTATTTATTTTATTTATTTACTTTGTTTTATTTCCCACCCTCTCTTCCTCACGGAAGGACTCAGAGTGGCAACCAAAAGAATTTTCTTGAAATAGTAATCCAAAATAGTATTGACACAGAAATATTATTGAATAGTAGTTAGAAATAATGAACTAGTAATCAAATGGAGGGACAATGCTCATCACCCCAAATCCATGCCATCTTCCATTGCACCAAGTTCCATGTAGGATTGGTGCAATAATCTTTGAAAATGTTGTGAGATGTTGCTTTAAAATCAGATCCATTTTTGGAGAAAATGAATGCAAAAGAAAGGACAGACACTATATCATTTTGACGAACAAATGACATTTCTTAGGGGAAAAATCATTCTCCCCTGACATTTTTAACCTCCTCATATGCCCATTTTGATCACAGTTCAATCTGATAAATGCTACCTCATGCTTATGCTTTCAACAAGCCACCTTAGAAGCTGAGGCACTTTCTTTTCCCATGCATTTGAAATCTTGCCTTTTGATCTCTGAGATATACACATCTTCCACTTGTTCAAATCCTTTTGTTTCTGATGAAAATGGGTTATGACTTTTCTACAAGACTAGATAAAATATGGACTATTTTTGATCCCATTCTGCTTTCTTTTCTTCTTCTTTTACTATCCTTAAGTGCACACACACTTGGCCTCTCATATAAAATTGTGTCATACATCAAAAGAATTAACTTCAGTACTATTTGAAAGGCATTGTCTCTTTCCAGACATTCAGCATACTTTTTCTTCTTTCCTATGCTCCAAATCATCAGCATTCTGAAATACTGATTAGCTGTCCCTTTCTGTAGCAGATCAATAACATTTAGCCATAATGCATAGCTATTAAAAACAGAGGAGTGAGTTATTATAAAATAGTAATACATTACTGTAATTGCATTATTATGCACTTAATATCTGACAAAGTGAAGACAATATATATCCTGAAGTAAAACAACTAATGTTTATAATAAACTTGTTCTTATGAGTTACCATGCTTAATCCACAAGATGGACATTTCTGATGCAAAGAACCAAGCTATTCTAGTTCAAGAAGAATAAGGTTTTTATTTTTAAAAGAATGAAACTCAGTTGGATTATCAACCCAACTTTGAAAAACGAACAACAATAAGGGACCAAACAAAAGTGTTTCTCTTTCTTTTTCAGTGAGGAAGAAAAATCCAAACTCATGGATAGCTTATCCTGGTGATTGTTTTGGTTCAAAGAAAGCACAGCTCAAGGAATTGCTCTTCTATCAAGGAGTCTGCAATCCTCTATGCTTAGTTGCTCAAGTACAGATCCTTTTTGTCTTCCAGGTCCATATTCTTTCTTACAGACCACCCTTTGAGGAGATCCTATCTCTGCCCCAGCACTTTCACAAATATGCTTAGTAGGGAAGACAATACATGGCCTTTTCAGTGGTATACATATGTATGAATTAGTTTTAAAAGAGGATTTTCTGTTTCCCTTTTATCAGTTCCTCTATAGTTTAACATTTTTACTTCCACTTTATGCTCAGCAAGTTATTTACCTCCACTTGTTTATACATTGACAAATATAGAATATACGGCCTCGGGCCATGGTGGAGTCTCCCCCTATGGAGGTAATTAATTAGAGTCTGCATGGCCATCTGTCAGGGGTACTTTGATTATGTGATTATGCATGGCAGCATGTTGAACTGGTTGATCCTTTTGGTCTCTTCCAGCTCTATGATTATCTGACTATTTCAACATGTCTGAACCCCCATCATCTGCATTGCCGTCTGGTGGCAAAGACCCAAATTTTATTATCTGATTGTCCCCTGGGAGGTATTAGTGGAATTATCCTGGATATTTGTAGGATAGCAATGAAGACACTTGTTCTCTTTTTATTACCCCTACATATAAGCCACTTTTAGAACTAAGATGAGTTAATATCAACTCACTTACTGTATTTGTTGAATTTCCATTTAAATGCAAACCACTGTCAAAGAGAGGGGAGGAAGCACCACTGCTGTGATCACTTGATGGACCAGGGGAACCTGAAAAAGGCAATGTAAAATGTATCTGATAAATAATTTGTATTTGGAAGAGAATGATTAGAACGACAATATTTAAGAAGACTTGCATGGTATGTGTACAAAATTGTTTGCATGTCTGAATAAAAAGGTAATATGCCAATCAAATAGCTTTCTTTTAATTTCTGCCTTGAGGTCCCCTAAGGCCTAGAGCTGGTGACTGTGACAAATACAATAAATGCAAATTATACTGTTTAATATCTCCTTTGCTGCTAAAAGTTAACCTAAACAGGAAACATCTCCAGAAGGCATCAGGCTGCTGCTGTAAATGCTCTTCCGTCAGGGATCAGCCTCACACTACGGGATTGATTTCCTAGTAAATAATATGTGTAGCATTGTGCTAACAAACCTCTACTTTAGTAGACCTCTGAGGATGCTTTAACAATTCAGAGCATGGAAACAATGCATTCATTACACATAATAATGTCACTTGTAATCTGTTACTTTGGGAAGACTAATAAAGTCAAAACAACATTCTTCTTCCAAATAGTAGAACCACTAGTAATGCCATCTGTGTGTGTGTGTGTGGGGGGGGAGTCCTGTTTATTTGAAACACTTTCTCATTAACTTAGGTAAGGTAGAAATCCTTTCTTTGGGCATTTTGCTTACTTTTAAGTATACTCTTTCAAAAAAAACTAAAAAAGCACAAGCAGTATTAACAACCAATGAAACAAGATATTGATTCCCACTTGGACCATTAATGGTAAAACATTCCTTTGGGTGTGTGTGAGAGAGCTCTTTCAATAAGCAACAAAACTATAAATTCATTAAAGATATAGCTCAAGACCTATATCTTGAATAGGAACTCATGAGGAACTAGAACAAATGCACTTCACTATTGGAATCAGAGCATATAGGAAGTAATCTAAGCAATCAATATCATCATGGCAAACTATGCAAGAGCAGTATAAAATGAACAAACTTATCAGATTACAAAGCTATGGTGTTCTTCAGATTCTGCTTCAAGTTTCACAAATCAACAAAGATCATCAGATGCATTATTCATGGAAGAACTGCCCAAGGAGTTTTGGAAATCATTCCATTTCTTAGAACACAGCAATTTAACTTGCCCTTCATCCCATATGGATTGATAGTTAGGAGACCAGGGATAGATGCTCCCAGAAGGCAAACCTGATGTTTACAGCAGGTTAATGTTAGATGCAATTTGGACTGAATGCCATGTGCATATTGCCATGCTGGTGAGGCTCATTAGCCTTTAGGAGTTGCCTATAATGAGCATGGAGATCTAATGGTCTCTAGCATATCCTGAAAGATAAGTACCTAGGCACCAGGAAAAAAGATATGCTGGACACGTTATGAACTGAATACTGAATATGCAATCATTCCTGTTCACTCTCCTTAAAAACTACATTATTCCTTAGTTGGTGACCAGGAGTATCTAATTAATTTAGTTTGTAAGTCTCATTCAATGACAGTTCATTCCTCTTTTTCCTAAGCGGCTAAAGTTACCCAAGGCCTGGAATCAATGAAAGTAGCATGCCCTCTCAATAAAGAGTTTTTTTAAAAGCTGTACTTTGTTTTAATTTGTTATAAGCTTTTTTGAGCCTACATCAGGGCAAAGGCAGGATAAAAATATGAATGTAAATAAAGAAGACTTACATCTGCAGCCATTCAGAGACATTAAAAACTATTCATCAATGTATGCCCTCACAATTAAGGTTTTTTTTCCAGAGGTTAGAATTCCATTCCAACAATGTAACAAAGAATACTCCACTCACTACACCCCATAAGCAATGCAGCCCAAGCCTCCAAATGTATATTTACATATTTCTGGAGAGTGGGAGATCAGCAAAGTGACTTTCAGCTTTTTTCTTGTACATGGATATGCCATATGAATACCAGTTGCACAAATCTTACATGGAACCTATTGTCCAACAACATGGAAATGGCTGTGTTGGGGACTGTGCAGCTTGCAAGGTTGTTACCTGGAGAATAGCATTTTGAGACAGATACATTTCCTGATGTAGGATCTTGGCCATTCATTTCTTTTCAGGCATTTTCACTTTTCTACTAAAACAACTAAAAAGATGGTCTTCAACATTCTAAATGCTAGGTTTCATAATGAATTAAGGTGGTTTCGCACTATAGTGCTACCACATTATCATTCAAATATATGGGGAAAATGCAATGTGATTCATACGGAATATGTTGGGGCTAGAGTTGAATATAAAGTGAAATTGGAGACTTCTCCATTCTAAAAGATATCCCCACTTCTGAAGTATGGAAGTCAGGAAAACAAAGGAAGTTTCCACTACACTGAAAGTACACCAGTAGCTTCAAGCACTACTTTAGTGCAAAAGTAAGGAGCCCGCAGTGGCGCAATGGGTTAAACCCTTGTGCTGGCAGGACTGAATACAGACAAGTCAGAGGTTCAAATATGAGGAGAGAGTGGATGAGCACTCTCTGTCAGCTCCACCTCCCCATGCGGGGATATGAGAGAAGCCTCCCACAAGAATGGTAAAGCATCAAAACGAACAAGTGTTCCCTGGGCCATGCTCTTGCAGACAGCCAATTCTCTCAAACCAGAAGTGACTTGCAGTTTCTGAAATCACTCCAAATACACAAAAAATGCAGAAGTGCAAATGATTTGCTGAATTCATGTTTAAGACTATCTGTCCCCGTCCCCCCGCCCCCAAAATTTTTACAGGACTACATGGAGGGTGAAAGCAACATCACCTTCTTCCCAAAGTTTTGTAAAATGAAGCTTTGTCACACCAAAATAGCTATAAGGCCAGTTGGTAGCTATCAAACATTACACTTTAATTCAGGCTGTATCCCATGTTCTGAAGATAGGAAACATGTTACTATGAACCTGGACAAAAAGTAGACCCCTTCCCTGTGCCAAACTGTGAGGGAAAGGGATACTATGGCCAGGAAGATTCAGGTAATGATGTTCATTCACCAGGTAACTTAGCACCACAGTTTCAACAAATTGGCTAGCCCTGTTTTATAGCTGGAATGCATGCATGAATAGAAATGCATGCACACAAATAGACAGTGAGGTTTTATCATTAGCTGATGAATTTGTTAGTATTAGCTTAAACCAACTCATCTATCCTAAAAATGGTGGTACACAAATGTATATATGTGTTATTTCTTAAAGGCAAACATTTTATTGATTGATTGTTTCTTTTACACAGATTGATAGCTAAACCAGGCATGCCTGATTTGTAATCTAAGATCTTGTGTTTGATAATGTTATGCGTTTGCCAGATCAACCATCATTCATGCATGATGGGATACATGACTCTTGATGAGTCTGATTCAGAACTTTGTCATATCTACTTTTGGTCTGATGTCCAAAAATCATAGATTGAAATTTCTGCAACCTTATTTTCAAGAACAGGCGCTTAATCCCAAAGATTGAGAGAAATAATAACTTCAAAACAATGGTGTTCAAAAATGTAACTTAAGCCTAGAACAGAACATCCTATTGCCAAAGAACAAAAGGTTTCCCACAAGGCTGGCAAGATAATCACTCTGTCTTGAATGATGATATATATGATAGAATACTTTCCCCAATAGTCCACTTTTAATTTCTTACAATTAAAATATAATTTATGTATAGAGAGAGTTTACTTTTTATAAAAGGAATAATCACCACTCCATCTCCAAAGTCTTGCAGTATTTTTTCCTATCCAGTTTTCACAATTTTCCCTGTCTTTGGCAGTGAAAGCTAATTAGCCTTGCTTAAATCAAATTCCAAAACATTTTAAGTAGCAGACATGGCAATCCATACTTAATTTAATATAGGATGATCATGATTTTTGGAAGGCACTTGTTAAAAATGAGTTTGATGCAAGCACTGCTATACGAAGGCAATTCTTTCTACATGAAAAGCACTTATGGCAACACACATAATCACAACATTACTACTAGTAGGGTAGCATTACTGTTAGTAGGGTAGGAGGAACTTCCTCATGAAGTTATCTTGCATGATGGTAGTATATGAGTCACTACTGATATTAGATCGTTGGGTCTTATTGCATATAGGCCTTTCCTATCCAATCACATTACTTTCACTCTTAGAGCATGACTGTTCAATAGGAAAGACTCTATCATCAATCCTGATCATGCTTACGTTCATATATTTCAGCCATGAACAACAGCAGCACAGGGAGATGACTTCAACACAGTTAGGCATATGATTGAAAGGGGCATGTATAAACATTAAATAATCTCATATTTCATTATATAATCTTTCCTGACATAAAACACTTGTGAATGAAATCCTGTGAGCAAGTGCCTGTTTGTTATGAGAAATATTGCAGAGAGGAAAACATTTAACTGAGATCCATTAATTTCCCCTTACCCAATGGGAGCTTTAGAAATGATGGAGCTTCCCTGAGGTACTGAACGGTGATGGTAACTTCATCGCCAGCATTTCGCAGTAGATGCACCTGTCAGTGTGACAAATAACAGCTACTTTATACCAAAGAAGAACCAGCCAGAGAGAGCAAAATGGTCTAGATCAAAAACGACACATCTCAGTAGTTTTGTCAGGAATCCAATATTCATGTTTTTTACTGAAATGAAGAATATCTTGAAGGTCAGACCACAAAAATACATAATAAAAGCAAGCATGTCCTCAGTTGTGGGAGAGTCTGAAAAATTAAATGTTGAAGGGCAATCTGTATTAGTATTCTTCAAGGAACAAAAGCTTGCAGTCTTACTGATAATACAGTAGGATCCAGCCAACATTAGTTCATCATTTCCTAGATTTGAAATTGAGATGAGGCTGCAATTTAGGAAGTTCATACTTTGTCATTCCTCCACCTTGAGATTTAATAATTACCTCATCACATTGATGAAGACGTGCAGGCAATCTGCCAGCCTCCGTGGCAAATCAGTGGTGCAGTGGGGCAATCCTGGTGCCCTGCCTCACTTGCAGTGACACTTCTCCATCACATTTGGGAAAGCATTGCCATGCGGCTTCCCCCCGCACTGGCCCTGTTGTTCCCAACAAAACACAGGAAGCCTCCCGTGTTTTGGGCAGTGTCGTAGGATGCTTGCACCTTTATTGATGGACAGAGCCCAGCGGGAAGCAAGCATGCATTGTGTGATGTGCAGCTTGGGGCTCCATCAATCAACTGGGGTGCAAGCATCCTACACACTTGCAGTCCCCCTCCCCCATGTGATGATGTCCTTAGAGTTTCTCTAATCTGGACACTTGCATTTTAGTGGTCTGTTTTCTGTGCTACAATCTGAATCCTAGACTATAAATAATGTAGGAACAATGTGTGGTATGCCACAACTTCAACAGAAGACAGGAGAAAATTATGTGCATTAATTAGTTATAAATGATATTTATGATGTGTCATCCATCTGTTCAAACAAATCAGCAGCAAACTACAATTATAACTTAGCAGGATCCTACCCTTAAAAAGAAATAAGCAACAAGACCTTTAAAAACACTATATAATTATCAATCAGGAGCAGAACAAATGTGTCATAAAACCAAAGTCCTAAATATAAAGCCAAGGGCTAAAAGGTTACTAAACATAGCAGTAAAAAGCAGATACTGGGGACACATATGGAGGAGACAATAAAATCAGCATTTTTAGTATGTGTTCTTCTTTCTCTGTTATCCACATTATAAATCTAATTTCAAAATGAAAGTCCATGTTTAAAAAATGAGCAGTAAAAGTAACAGGTCTCAACTGATACTATTGTCACTATTATTGCTTTCATTTAACTTCTCATAAATGCCTTTTGCAAAAATTATGTTTTTTCTCACTCACACAAGAGTGCATTGAAGTAATCTAAATGGCAGTTTTCCAAGGCATGGATAACAAGGGGTGAAACTTGATCTGAAGGGAAGAGACAAAGCCAATTTACAACCCAAATTTGGTAAAATGTGCTGATGTTTGATTCAACCTCATCAGTATTGCTCAGATTGGAAACCTGCTCCTTTAGGATGATGGCCAGGTAAAGCATATGAGGAATAACCGTTTCTTCCACAAATTGACTATCAATACTTTCATTTGGTTCAAGCTGTTTCAATAAATTATCCTTCACAGTCTCCCAAACCCCTTCCACAGTGCTGAATAAAATCCTACAATATCTGTTTTGAACTGGAATATATGGCCTCAAATAACCCAGTTCAAAGCAGATATTGTGGGATTTTCTGCCTTAATATTCTGGGTTATATGGCTGTCTGGAAGGGCCCCCACACAAATTTTAATGGATTAAATTGCTGCTCTTGGATTAGATGAAAAAGAAAATGGAATTGGGTGTTACTGGAAAATGACACCATGCTCCAAAATTCTGCATGATTACTCTCCATCTCTCTGTAGTTGCATAAACAATTAAACTTAAGGGAGCTGTGAACTCAGAGCTGGCCCATGTGGTGTCATATCTCATTGGGTTATCTATCTAGTTTACAGGAAGGGTGACAGCACCCTTGACAAACCCTAGATACAATTCATCCACCAACATAATGGTGTAGAGAAAAAGGGATACTGGACAGGGGACAGGACGATATAGAACAAAGCTTTGCAAACATTTCATGTTGGTGACGCACTCTTCAGACCAGTGGTTCCCAACCTTTGGGCCATGGCCCACTGGTGGGCTGCAGGACCTAAAATAAGATTCACAGCTCTAGATGATTAAATATGATTTTCTGTGGGTGAGCAGTTGACGACTACTGGATGGCATATATTCTGTATCAGAAACAAGAGCTGATGTGCTCTATCCAATGCCATTTTCTGAATCAGCATCCCAAATAACCAAACTGAATCTAAAGTTGACCAAAATTTGATTCGTAATCCTTTTGGTACTAATGTTGTAGAGTGGTCCCTGGTCAAAAAAAGGTTGGGAACTACTGCTTTAAACAGCTTTACTTGCAAATTAGACGTTAAACCAATCCTTTCTAAGAAATAAGGGCACCTACATAAATTGTATGAACGAAATGTATGGAGACAGAACATATCTCATGAAAACCTTTTTGCAAAGCTCTGATATAATTTTTTGTGACTCAACAGTTGCTCCTTTTTTCCTGTTAGCCATTGACATGTTGGTTTTCATGCAAGCACACTGCCTTTTCTTCATATGGTGCTGCGTAACATTAAGTTAGTAACTAAGGAGATATTATAATTGATAATAATAAAAGCATGCATGTTGCTTAGATATGGTTAGATAAACTAGCTGAACACTCATTTTTGCATCACTCCATAACAGTGCAATCATAGTGTGTGTTTTTGCTCTGCAGACAATCTTTTTTGGTCACATTGTGTATTTTTGCTTTTAGCACCTGACCTTATTTATATTTTAAATTGTGATCCTAACATACATGAGCTAATTTCTGTCTAATTGCTTTGCTGCTAAGACTTATATGGTGACTGAAAGAAGGAATCTCTACCCTTCTTTAATGTCAAAACTGTTTGGAGGCAGAAAGAGAAGCATTGTGTGGATACAAATAATTCCCACTACAGGGAATGGTAACATCAATATAGTCAGAAACAGAGAGCTGATTGAAGCAATAAAGTCCTGCGGGGGGAAGCTACCAAATTATGTTATTGCCTCCAATTGAAAATCTGCAAGAAGTAATGTTCTGCACAGGGATCTCCATAAAGTACAAGGTATTAGGAATTCCATGAAAAATCGTAAACTCATACCAAGATTGCCTAATAAGTTAGAAGGCAGTTGACTATAACTCACTGCATGTGTTCTTAATATATACTCAGAACGGATGAAAATGTACCTTCTTTCTGACTGCAGAAGAAAGAAAAGAAAAAGAAAAGCAGAACTCAGATCTGCAGTAAATGAAAAGTCAATATTAATTTAGCCTTCTCACACAGTAAAGGTCTAGAAGGAACAAACATGAACAAGTCTAGATGACAATTTTAAATTGAAAAAAGTGGTATATTTACTTTCGTGGTATTTGATCAGGTACTTTGGAAGCAGCACAGGGGACCCCCAGGGAACCCTTGTGCACAGATGAATTTTGTAAAGAAATTGAGTTAAACTGCAGATTGTACATTGTGTTCACTATATTTTCATTGAGTTTATTATATTATGCAATGCTATGAATCGGCATTATTAGCATTCAAAGGTAACAATGACAGAAATGCAACTTTTTGTTTTGCAGCATTTTTACTCATTTTACAATTCCCTTCAGTATGATTTAGATTTACTTATTTTCCTACAAATGTATTTTATACAAACATTTCTATTTCATTATTTTGGTGCCTACATAACACTCTAGGAAACAAACAGCATAAACAAAACCACATAAAATGCAATGGCCTACATCTGGTTGCTCATCCCAATTACAGAACGCCCATTGAATCAATGGAAGTAACACAAGTATTGGTTTACTCAGTTCCCATTGGCTCCATCACTTAACTCTAGTTGAGACTGGCAATTGGATTCAGGCCAGGATGAAATTATATAATATAAAATGGAGACTACTTACATTTTTCTCTATTAGTTATTTTGTTGAATGGCTTAAAATGTCTTTTATCAAATTGTTTTTTATTATAATATTTTTTATATGTTTCATTAGGTTAGGTCTTTTGATATATACCATAATAGCCACAAGGATGAAGATTTAAAAATATTTTACTACAACTACAATTATTACTTGTACCTAAAATGAAAATACAAAGATGGGAGTAAAAGATTATAGGTCCTCCTTTGCCAGTATTATCTACTGACTGATATCGGTTCTCCAAGATAGATATTGTTTTTGGCAGTGCTATTAGATCACTTAATTGCAGATAGTCAACGATAAGATCTTGGATAGACCTATACTGCACAGTAATAACACTTCAATAGCACTTTAATCTTGGTATTTGTAATTCTGTGTAATTCAGAAGTCTCGATTTACTAGTCCTAGGGTTTTCATTTCCATGAGTACATCACCAAATTACAAACGCCAGGATACCATAGAATGCAGCCAGGGTGATTAAAACAGGTTATCAGAGTGCTATAATTCAGTAGTGAGAGAACGAGAGCCCTGGATTATCATGCATGCAAGGTATGTGATCTTTTACCTGAACAATGTAACAAAAGGGAATGATAGACGCCATTCTTCATGCCATATAAAGTGATACCACATACAGTGAAGCCAAAACCTCCCATATGTCTGAAATGCCATTTTAAATTCAATTGGGAATTAAAATATTTGTTTCCCAAAGTCTGTCTTTTGGACAATGCAAATGATAAAGGGGACACAGGGATGGCGTAAGGAAATTAAGAATACTTACTACTGAATAGGGTGGCTGGTAGCCTCATTTATATTTCAAAATAATAGTGATAAATATTGTAGATATTATCAGTAAGCCAACATGATTCAAACCACACCAAGCGAAGGTTAACAGAATTGCTGGTTAGGTTTTTGCCCATGTTTAAACAAGAGATGGGATGTTGTAGGTTTTTTCGGGCCATATGGCCATGT